GCCAAAACAGAGTCAAGCCTTCTGCTCTGACTGAATTACTAGGACAACCTTCCTCAAACAATTAGCAGGTTTATTTCATATTAAATTTTGTTATTATCCATGAAAGTGGAGTTTTGGGGTTTATGCAGTTCAAGAGTTTTTACCAGACTCGCCCCAATGAGGGTAAGTGGTACAGTTAATGGTGCAGTTTTCTGTCCATAAGCTATTAACTAATAACCAAGGAGAGCCTTAACAGAGAAATGACAAGCACATGTGATGAGAGGCTGCTGGATTAGCTGAGGAGAGCACTATGCCAATTACATTATTGTGCAATTGCAGGGTCCTTCATAGGCAGATGGACCATTGGGACTCCTTTGGCAGGACTGGAACATTAAAAGTGTTTATAACATGCCAGTATGCCCTGCAAAACATCATAGACACCGTTTCTATCTCTTTCTTGTAAAAGGAGAGTAAATTGTTTTATTTCTCCTCTGGGAAATATTCCAGAATCCTTTTGAAGTGCTTTTGTTGCATATTGCAGCTGTGGTGTTTACAAGATTTCCATAACTCTCTGCAAGATTTGCAAGGGAGAGGAATATGACTGACTGTATTCCCATTGACCCCTTTTGCCCCTGAGTAATTAGGCCATGATAATTGCAGTCATTGGAGGTTGCTTTTATGAGGAAGGAAAATCAGCAGTAATGGACTCTTTTTTTCTTGGATGCTGTCCTGCAGATCTGTAGAGAACTTTTCTCAGTTTCTGTGCCCATCAATGCAGTGCAAACACATGGTCAGAGGTCAGCCTCCTTGCTCACAGACTGGGTTTCTTTCCATGCTGCATTCTGCCAAAAGAGGTTCATTCTTGACCGATCTTCCAGAAGCACAAAAAGTTCTGCTTTTTTGAGGCTGACTTTGAGGGCTGGTAATTTTTTCCTGATAATTTTCCCACACTTACCCTTGCTATAGCCATCAACAGAACAGTGCAGGACAGTGCTGTCTGTTTCCAGGCAGTCAAAAAGTGGGATATTTGTTATTCCTTTGTTCAGGAGACCAACCTGAGCAACAGCTATGGGGCTGCACTATAAAGGACCTGCTATTTCCTCCCAGCCTGTGCTGCTCATGAACTAAAACCCACTAGCTTCAGTCACCTGCACACCAGGTTGCAGACTGAAAAGCTCATGACTTTTAACTCCCCTTGAGAGTGTGAAGGTGCTGAAATAATCCTTTCCTGGATTTCACTGTGCTGCATATTGTACAAGACATAGCAAGGACAGAGCCTCTGTCTCAAAGAACTTCCAACATAACTTTTGTCTTCAGCAGAAAACAAACTTCTTGCACATATTTTTATCTCAAAGTTAACAGTCATAAAATCCTAGATCTTGGAATGGTTTGGTTGGAAGGGACCTTAAAGATCATACAATTCCAATAGCCCAGCCGTCGGCAGAGACACCTTCCCTTAGACCAGGTTCCTTAGAGCCCCAGTCTGCGTGGTCTTGAACACTTGCACAAACAGAGAGTCTACAACCCCTCTGGGCACCCTGTGTGAGTGTCTCACCACCCTTATAGTAAAAATACTAGTCTTTATAAATTATAGATATCAGTTTTTATTGATTATAGTAAAGGTTTATAAATTATAGTAAAGAAAACAATCAGTTACAGAAGCAAATCTTCCACCTGTGCAATGCAAGATATCATCTTGCAGTTTTATTTTACTTGTTTCTGTAAAAATAAATGCTATATAAAACTTACTATTTTTGATATTTTCTCAATTAAGATTAATATACTCCAAGGTGTTGGTTGCATTTGTTGTGTTTTGTTTTTACCAATCCAATTCTTATCAGTAAAAAGTTCTCTTCTACTGAAAAATCTCTTTTACTTGCTCTGACCAAAGAAAAACAGTTTCTTTATTGTAGGAAAGTATTTCCATTGCATCACTTAGCCATAGCTAAAACTGCATTAGTTCCCTCATCCAAAGCAGACCGATTCTTGTTTCCCTTTGAATAATATGAATATAACATCTTATCTCAATGCACTGTTGTGTTTAAACTCCTTATAATAACTTGTTCAGATAAATTCTCAAATTAATGTGATGTGTGTGAAAGTATTAGTCATAATAATCCTTTATTCTTTGCCAAGGGTTTTCTTACTTCTCTAACTTTTTACATCAGAAGCTATTAAGTTCCTCAAGTCATTTGTTGTCTGCATGTCCATTGTTCTAAAGGATAAGTAAAATATTTCAGTTTTGAAGCCACAAGTCATAGTTCAGATGGAGGGTACACAAAAGAAAGAAATGTTGGGAAATGAAGCAAATGGAACTTAGCTCTACAGCTGTCAGCAAACGTTTTTCTATGCTTGCACTTGTTTGAGCTACAGATACAAGTTCCAGCAAAGACTGGCTTAGTTCTAGTGGAAGGTGTGTTCAGTCAGTCTCTGCTCAGAGGGCTGGTGAGCAGTACATACAGAGAAGGGGCAAAGAGGAGCAAGGATCCTCCATAGCCACCTTCCTTTCAGTTGGGCAGTATGAAACAGGGAAAGAATTAAGTCAAAATGACACACTTGAGAAGTACCACGGATTTTATTGCAGAAGTCACCATCTCCTCTAGTTGTTCCTAGAGCCCAGGTGTCTGGATGGAATGCTGGGATAATTTGGCCCTGGGAAAAGCAGGACAAGCCCATGTAAATTACGCAGGCACCCTGAGTCACTCCCACTAGAGCCATGAGGAAAATGATGCCTTGAGCTCTCAGGTGGCCCCTCTGACCTCCAGGTCCTCCTTGGAGACCTCCACAAGAGGACACAGTGCTGGCCCAGCCCAAACCTCAGACACAGAAAACTGCTCTGATGGCTCAGGAAGTTTGCTTGCATATTAGAGGCCCAGGTGCCAGGGAGGGCACCTGAATCTGTGTGCAGACTGAGGGAAGTGCCCATCAGGCAAGGCAGCCCTTGTAGGGATGGGTGGTCAATAAGGGGAGAAGGGATAAAGGAAAGTCACCAGCTAGGAGGCTGCATTGAGTGTGGGCTAGGAAACAAGGCAATAAACATATTGACCCAGATCTCTGAAAAACAGTCCAGGGATGATATAAGAGCCTTAATGAACACTTTTGCCCACAGAAAATAAGGAGCAAATACATCTTGACTTACCATTTGTTTTGGTGGTGGTGGTAGTGGTGGTTGGCTCGGTTGGGTTGGGCGCAGTATACAACCCTTTTTGGACACACTTTTAAGAACTGTTCAGCCACAGTGTGGAAAAAAGATGTAATAGTCTGTTCTGTCCTGCATGGTGAGAAGAAAACATGAATTGCTAGAAAATAAAAAACAGTTCTTCACACTAATCTTGTCAGAACCCTATATCCTAACCTATCAATAAACCTATATTTTCATGAACACCAACCTGCACTGCAAATTTTGAAACAGAATGAAATGCATATGTTTGGGCAATTATGAATTGGGAACAGAAGGTGGTGGACTGGAAATTGAGAAGATTTTCTGATTCAGAGGGGCAGTCCAGACAAATGGAAAACATGCAGTCCCCTATCTGCTGAACTGCAAAAGTGTCTCTTGAAAGAGACAAGTGAATCCTAATGACATCTTCTGCAGCCCAGGTAGTCAGCTTGGAAAACATCTGCAGAAGTTAAGGGAAATAGTTATTCTCCTGTGGCCACAGATGGTGACTGTTACTTTGCTATCACTGCTATGACCTCCGATTTCGAGACAGCATGTGGTGCTCCCCAGAAGAAGTGGGGAGCTTCTGTCAGCACAGCAATGCCTGCCACTCCTCCTGGCCCTCCTGGGTTGTGGTGACCAGGAAGTCCAGGTGGAGGACCTCACTGCTGTCCCTAAGAAAGCAAATGGACATGAGACCCATTCAGAAGAGGAGCAGCATTGTCCCTCACCAGCTGGCACTTCTGTAGCGGACACAACATGGTTCCCTCCACCATCTGCCCACTGATTCCCAGAAATGTGTAGCCACAATCCCTCCTCAAGGTCTCTGTCTGCAGCCTTGTCTGAACCATGCATGGGAACCACTTCACCAGCTCCATTTAGCTCCACATGTCAATTTGTTATTTCATCAAAATAGAGCAAAGCTGTTGCCTCACAAAGTGGCAATGACAGTATCCCTGCTACCCTACAAAAAGAATCTCTGCTGCCACAAAAGCTTGCACTTTCCAAAACAATTCATTCAGAGCTGGGGGCTGTTTAAAGAGTAAATGACTTTGGCTTAGAAGACAGCCCTGAAAAAATTTAGAAAATCTTGATCAAAAGCAAGTCATCGAAATTGGAGCTCAATGTTAGTCCTTTTCACAGCCCTCCTTTGACCTGTAGAGCAAGTGGTCAGATTACTGAGTTTTTAAGGAAATATTTAATTTTTGGCATTTTTGAAGTGCTGTTATCATAATTCTCTTTTATTTTGTGAGGACTTTAATTTATTTTAATTTAATTTACAGAATCACAGAATCACTAGGTTTGAAGATCATTGAGTCCAACCCATGCCCTAACACCTCAACTAAACCATGGCACTGAGTGCCACATCCAGTCTTCTTTTAAACACATCCAGGGGTTGTGACTCCAGTACCTCCCCAAGCAGACACTTCCAGTACTTTATCACTCTTTCTGTAAAAAACTTTTTCCTAATATACAACCTATATTTCCCTTGACACAGCTTGAGACTGTGGCCTCTCATTCTGTCAGTTGCTGCCTGGAGAAAGAGGCCAACCCCACCTGACCCCAACCACCTTTCAGGGAGTTATAGAGAGTGATAAGGTCACCCCAAGCCTCCTTTTCTCCAGGCTAATTTAATTTAATTTAATTCATTTAATTTAATTTAATTCCATTAGTTCATCTCATTTATTAAAATTTGAAATCCTTCTTACTGATAGGTACTGAAAAAAATCCCAAAAACCAGAAAGAGCTGGGAATTTTTGTTACCCTCTGCTTTCTTATAGCCTAGCAGTAACATTTGTCTTTGCCTACTTAAATGCAAAATGCTGATCAAGTGTGTGACTTCCTCTCATTTATCTAACAGGTAAGCTGCAAAGTGCTGCAATTCTTTCATCAGTACATGCTGGGCTGCAACTACTTCTGGATGCTCTGTGAAGGCATTTATCTCCACACGCTGATCGTGGTGGCAGTGTTTGCTGAAGAACAGCGTTTGCACTGGTATTACCTCTTGGGCTGGGGTATGTATGCTACCTTCTGTAGCAGGATGGTCAGTACCCTCAGATTTTTGAACTCTTCTAGCACTTATGTATCATTTATGATCTAGTAAATATCGTTAGGTCGTAGCTTAAGACTGAGTTCTTGGACCTTTAATTTGAGTGGATATAGTTACATGGGCTTAGAAACTTACAAAAAACAGCACAAAAAAAGTATTTTTTATTTGCTGCATGTTGGGATTTGCAGAAAGAAGTGTGCTTATGCTCTGTTACGGAAAGCTATTGGAAGAAGTATATTTCTATTCAAGAATATATCTTTTCTGAAAAAAAATAGATGTTTATTTTTGTCACATATATACAAAAACATGAATGTGTGACAGTACCTATAAAGAATATTTTTCCTGGAATCAAGAGGAAAGATCAGTATCTGTGTCTCACAAAGTGAAGCAAACACAGCATACAAAGAGGAAGCAGAATTTCTCAGGAAGTGAATCCAGTATCAGATACATTTTGTCATATGCTGTTTTAAAAGAAAAAATTTGATTTTACCTACTAAGTAGGTAATGGCTTTGCTGTCAGGACTGGTTTTGTCCAACAGCATGTGGTCATATGCATATTGCCCAAGGAACCATGACTAGGTCTGGTTCTTCATCTCCAAATATGCATTCTCTTCTGTTTTCTGTTTCCCTAAGGGACCCCTTGCCTTTTTAATGGGTAACAGCAGATATTTTTCCTTTGGACTATCTGGTCCAATAAAAGACCATATAAATGTAATCAGTATATTACAATTAATCTATTACATTTAAATCACTATTTTACATCAATTCTGCATCAGTGTTGACAGAAAATCAATATCAAGAGCTTTTTTCCAATTTGGCAACCATGAATCTCTGGCCTCATTCCAATTTCTGGTAAGGCAGCTCCCCTATCTTGAAACCACTGGTGCAGCAAAGCAGCAAATAATGGACCTTTACCGATTGTCCCACTGCGCACACACACAATTTATTCTATATTTGCCATCCTCTTTGGTGAAGTTGTACTTTTTCAAGATTATTTCATTTACAGGAGGAAAATAGAAAAATAGCCCTATTGCTTAAATCATTAAAAATGAGAAATTTTTAGATTAGATAAGTGGATAATTAGATAACTAGGTAACTAGATCAGAGGAAAATTACCCAGTTCTATATGTTCTGAAGAAATTTTACACTATCTTCAGACACAAGTTAGGTATCCAATATTTGATCCTAAATGGGCAGTAACAGCAAAGTTATCCCCTGTCTGGATTTTCATTTTAAAATCTGATCATTTACTGTCCCCTTTCGATATAAGGCTCAGTGCTCACTGGATACCTACATTAGATAACAGGAAAATTAACATGATTTTCTAGTTCATATACTTTGTAGTGTCAGATAGCAGACTCCAGGAAAATAATAATTTGTCTTTGATGGTTTTTGTTTGTTTGTTGGGTTTTTCTTAATGAGAACACCAGCATGCGTTCTTTTTTCTTGTGAGAATGGCATCTTTTCTAAGAGAGGCACTTGTAATGCTTTTGGAATTATAAGTATGTGAAACATTATCATCTCTTAAATGAAGACAACCATCCTGAGGAGCCCTAAATCAACTTAGAGTTTCTGAACCATGCCAATCCAAGTAGCTGAGTCCTCTTGGAGCAAGCAGCTGTGCTATCACAAAAATCTCATAGCTCAGAATATTTCAATATAAAAAGTCTCATAGGGATGTGAAACAGCAACCCAATGTGACGAGTCATTTTAAACATTTGCTTCCAGACAAAGCTTTTTCATATCTCACAGAACAAGGCTTCCCAAAATAGTGTCACTCCACATCCAATTGTGGAAGAGCAATATGGCCATAGACATAATTTTTTTCTGGTGCCTTTCAATTTAGGCAGTGCAATTTAATGTACCTGTGACATCCAGCCTGCAATGAAAGGTAATGAGCCAGCTGTAGTAGCACTGAGAATGGCACCAGCAGCACAGTGGGGAATTCAGTGAAGTTACCTGCTAAGACACACATCAGTGTCTGCAGAGCTGCCCAAAAATAAAAAGGGTAGTGGCAGTGGTAACAGGGTGCTGATATCTTGAGAAGGAAACAGTTATAAAAAATGTACATAACTCTTGACAATGGTGTCCGCAGCCGTTTTTATGAGACTAGATGAATTCTTCCAAAAAAAAAAAAAAAAAAAAAAGTCATGATTAGCACCTCCTAACTTAAATAGAAATATTATTAATAGCAAAATGGTCTGATTACAACAGTCTGGTAACCCCTTAAGTTTGCATGAATCATTGTAATTCCACTGATTCCAGAAGGAGTAGTGACACAGTCTAACTTTAAACATCCATCTATGTTAATCAATGGACAGAGACACATTTCTCCAAAGGGCAATACAGAGGAACCAGAGCAGGCTGTGCTCTGAATTGCAATTCAAGAGATCAAGGCAAATGTCCAAAACAAAGTTACTCATTATTCATTGCTCTTGCTAATCTCTATGCAAGAAGATCTGGCCTACTTTATTTGGAAAACCACTAATGACATTTTTAAAATAGCTTTATAAGAAAAATAAAAAATCTGAGCAAATATAAAAAACATCTACAAAAGGTTTGAGGTGATTGAATGGAATCTGGCATGGGCAGATGTATTTCAAGGCTGATGCCATCAGCTGACCCCTTCTCTGGGAACCACTGTTGCAGATGTCATTTCTCATTTGTTATTGTTTCTCTGGGTCAGGAAATCACCAATAGGCAGGACAAGGAAACAGTATCAGCTGTGTGCACCAGTACAGCTCACTCTGGCTGCTTCAGGCAGCTTCACCCACATCAAAGAGGAAAGGGAATCATTTATTTGGACAGTGCTGAAACCTTTAGTGCCTTCCAAATGGTGCTGGGAATACTGACCTAATTGCCAGTTTGTGCTGTAAAGGACCTGGCATGACCTAAAGGGATGCGTCCTACCTGTCCCTGGGATGGCTGGGGACCTTCTCTTCATTATTCACGTCTCACCGACTGCAGGTGGGACTCATACACGTAACCACGACCCCACAGTCTTTGATGCTCCACTTCTCTGCTACTCTCTGCTTTTTGGCCCTTTACAAAAGCAACACTTAGCCCTGGAATAGCCCATCCAGCCTGCAGCTGGAAATCTGACCTTCAGAGGGTCATGAGCTTCTTAGCCTGTAACTAGCCAATGAAGGTTTTCCACAGCATTCTTGAGATTTGCTTTTGAGTTTGTTGAGCCAAATATCCCAGGCTAATGCATTTAGCAGAAGAAAAAACTCTTTTTACATCATATGGCATGTTCTACTTGCAATACTCCAGGCCACAGTTTTCAGCTGAAGAAGTTTTGCTATAAAGGCAAAGGCCCCTTAAAAATTGCACTTCAATCTTCTAACAAAACTGGCCCAGACTTGCTCCATTTCCCAATCAAGACTATTTTCTCAAGCTGTCAATCCCATGAGCTCACCCTGAGGTCATAAGCTCCTTTCTTTTTATTCTGAACTTTTTGTTGTTTTGCTGTGCATCATCACCCAAAAAGGTAATTCTGCAGCCAGAGGCCTAGGAATCACTTTCTAAAAACATATAAAGAAGGCAATCCAGTTTGTTCTCCCACAGCTGCCTTGTCTTCCCAAGGTAAATTGCAATAAGAACTCCTTTTTTTTTTTTTTTGCAGTAATCTTTAAGCTATTGCTTAAAGATGCCTGGAAACATAAGAGTGTCTTTTTTATGTATCTTTGGACCTTGTTTTCACTCCCCACAATATGGTTAAGGGTCCTCCATCTCTTCTAAATATTTTTATAAAACCACTAACATGTGAAAAAAACAGGAGCTATGGTCTTTTAATCCCTCCATGATTAATCATAGTGTCAATAGGATATTTTCACACATTTTAATTTGTAATTGTAGAATATCCAAACCTCAGTAGAAAGGTCAGTGGTTCATAGAGAACAGGCAGCAGTAGCACCAAAGGTGTGTGCCAAGCTCTCTGCACAGGACAGACAAGGCAGCAGATCGTGTCCAGCTGTCTGTATGTGCAAGGCTGCACAGACTGGGCTCAGCACCGTGGTGCAGGCTCCCCAGTTCCAGGTTTCTAGCCTATTGGAAAGGGATATGACATTTAAGCAAGCTGAAGGGAAATGAAAAGGATTGGACCAGACTGTCACTCTCAGTATCAAGCTGGAAATAAGAACCTGAGCTTTCTATTTTGTTAAGCATGGCATGTTGCCGAGCCCAGTGCAAATCTTCTCCCATCAGCTCCCTGTCAAAGACTCCTCTGAGGTGTCACAAATAAGTCTGGATACGTGGATTTATGGTATTCACAGCTCTTCTCCCTCTTGAGATAAAGCTGCATGGAGTGGGCTTGGCTGTACAGATGCTGAGAATCTACAGAACATATATAAATTCCCATCCCCCAAAAACCTCCTGGCTCCAAACACTTTCTCATGCCATTGACTCCAAAAGAGAAACTCTTCACTCTGTTTATTGCTCCATAATCTGGCATGCAAGTCAATGTGCCTCTCTCTTGCTCAACAGTTACTTACATGACTTTAACAAGTGTCCCTGGTTTCCTGAGAGAAGTCTCCTCTGAGAACAGAATGATCCCTACATCCTTCCCACACTCCCTGCTCACACCCTTCCCTGCAAAAGCCACAGTAGTACAGGGGTGCCTGGCAGCAGCTTTGAGACACCCCAGGAGAGCATGGTCTGTGGTTTTTGCTTCTTCTTTTTGGCCTGCCTTGAATGTTAATCCCTTTTGTATCTCATCATTGAGGTGTTGACAGGATCTGGGTATGATGGAGCAAGTTCTTTCCTGAAGGATGTGATTTCACATCCATGTGTTTTGTGAACAACAGACTTATTAGTATTTGACACACATGAAATTCAAGCTAAACAAATACCAAGACTGATCTATAACCTTAATCATTTCAGGGTTCCCTTTAGTGCCAGCATCCATTCATGCAGTTGCAAGAGCCAGATACTTCAATGACAAGTGAGTAGCACATCTGTTTTTGAAGGAATTTAGCATTATTTAACTATGCAGCAAATTTTATTCAAGTTAATAACAAATGTTAATGCTGTATTTCTCCTCCAGCTGCTGGATGAGTGTTGACACACACTTGCTTTATATTGTTCATGGACCTGTAATGGCAGCTTTATTGGTAAGAATATTGTTTGCTATCAACAGTATAAATAAGTATTTTAAAATGGTACTAACCCAAACAAAATAGAATCTTCTGTACTATAAGTATTTTGGTCAAAACCCAGAAGTAACTAGAGGTTTTCTCTACTCAGTTTTATAAAGGACAGGCTCACAACACTTTTTTCCTGTGGGACTTAAGAGGAATACACTGCATTTATGTGACATCAATCATTTAACTGTGCCTTGGCTGGGGTGAGCTGGTTGCTCGGCATGGGTTCTTCTGGCCACTGAGCTGGTATGTTCCAAAGGTAGGGAGCTAAAAGAATCCAGGGAAAGAACTCAAACTGTGCTGTTTGAGTAGGAGGACAAGATTCCAAGTGCAGCTTGGCAATGTGCATACATACAGCATCTGGTGTGCCAGTCCTGCAGTCAGGCATGGTAACCCTGACCTTCCTGACAGGTGCAGAACAGGTTTTGCCCAACCCAAGCCCCAAGCTCATGTCATTGTGTCACCCAAGATGCACTTTCATCTTTTTATCTGCTCTTACTTGCAAACACCTGCACGGATGTACCTGCAATAATTGCCTCAGAGATCAAACAATAGCACAGTGAGTACTTGGAAAACTTTGAATAAACAACTTTCCATATAATAGCTGAAAAAAAAAAAAAAGTCTTTCTACCCTTTCTGGAGAAGCAGTCTTTAACATCAGCTATATGAAATAGCCCATCCTTCCCTGCCTTATAGGCAGTCTGTTGGTCCCATAGAATCACATTTATTCTGGGTTTATTGCTTCAATCTTGACTGTATCTGCTACTGTAATGCCAATTACCATCTGAGATAATCCATTTAACCTTTATTTTTTGTCATTGTGATCCCAGCCTTTATATCTTGCCACAAAGAAAATATAAGCAACTATTATGGAAAAAGAGCAATCTTTAGCTATGTTCAAAATAAGATATTGTTATTTCTATATTGTGCTTATGTCATTTCCAGTCTTATTTTTCTTATGAAGACGTCAATGTCTACAGTATGTCCTGCTTGATTTGCTGCAAAAAAATCCCATAGTGGCAGACTGATTCAGAAGAGCTGAGGGTTTTTAACTTTGTAAAGTCTTTCTTTGACTTTTTACAGTTACTTTCAGAAAATCTAAAAGTGAAGGTTAAGCAGAGTGAGTGAAGTCAGAATAGGATGGAGAATAAGGTTTAGATTTAATGTTGACTGGGACCTCAGAAGTAATTTATTATTCCTCTTTTCTAGTAGAGCACAAATGTAAAACAGTTGAAAGGTCTCTAGGTGTAGTTTAGAAGTGATGAAATGTTTTACCAGAGCTTGCTGATTCACTGTTCTGAAAAACTTCAACTGAAATTTCTGGTATATATATATATATATATATATGTGATTTGAACTCTTGAAATATCTATGGAAGTTATATACTTACATCCTTATTTCAAAAAATTAGCAGGAAAAAGAAAGTCTATTAAAGTTCCAAAGAGCCAGTGCCTGATTTTACTGTAGCAGAAGGGAAAAAAGTGATGTGGGTACACTGGAGACCAAGGGTTCTGTGATCCAGGGATGTCCACAGGGTAATCACTGAACTCATTACCAGCCTGGCTCTGCCCTCCCTCTTCCTGCAGGCTCTCAGCACATCCCACAAGGAGCTCTCTGTGAAGCCAGGGTCAAGGGCAGGTTACTCTACGATGAAATCAGATTTCCATAAATAACTGAGGAGAGAAGATGCTGAACTACTTGGTATCACTGGTCATAAGGATCAGGAACAAAATTTTCTGCCCTGAGACAGCAATAGTTGCCTGTTCCCTGTGGGTAGAGTACCACGGGGTCCCTGTAGTCTGGTGGAGGCGAGAAATGCCCGAGGTTTTCCTCAAAAACAGCCTTACACCCCTGCTCACAGACAAGCCTGAAGCATTAGTTCATGGAGCATATTCCTTAGGGAAATTGTGTGCTCCCATAGGTCCCATGTGTCCAGGGACATGCTGGAGTTTATCCCAACTGGCAAGATAGCTTGGCAACTGTCAGACTCACAACAGAGATGTGGTTATTTCTAGGGGACAATTTGTCCACCCCATTTAAACTTCCAATATAAAAATAATATTTAGTGTTCCCTGGAAACCCTGAATTTGCCCACATCAGTGTCAAAACATCCAGTGCATCCTAGAACTGACCCCTGCCTGCCTGAAGTATCCATGCAGGCTCCAAAACATGTGGAGCTGCTTAACAGATCTTTTCTGAAAATATTCAAGATATTTTCCAAGACCTGACTGCCAGGGAACTGCCCATTATAAGATACAATAAAGCTAGAAAGCTGCAGTGTATTGCCATTTATGTGTTTTGTATTTTTATTTTGAATGTCTGTTTAATTTGAGTGCTTTCACCTACAATAGCTTTGTTTTTGCAGGTCAATTTTTTCTTTTTGCTGAACATTGTCCGAGTTTTGGTGACAAAGCTGAGAGATACCCACCGTGCTGAGTCCAACATGTATATGAAAGCTGTCAGAGCTACTTTAATCCTGGTGCCCTTACTGGGAATTCAGTTTGTTATTATTCCCTGGAGACCAGAAAACCGACTTGCTGGAGAAATATATGATTACATCATGCACATACTAATGCATTACCAGGTATGTAGCAGCTTCAGTGTAGCTGAATTGTTTGATGTTAAGCTAATTTACTCGAAGATACTGTCGCCAGTATCTTCGAGTTTTACTCTGAAGCTGAAATAACTGGGTTTTCAGTTCTTTTCCAACCATTTCACAGTATTGTATTATCTGCATTTACACAAGCAGCACCACTGTGTAAACAGAGACAAGATAGAGGAAACAATGTAATAAGTAAAAATTATCAGTTCACACTATTTCTAAACTGTGGAGAGAAAATGAGTTCACAGACAGCTTTTATGTTCCAGCATAACTTCTGTTGAAGGGCTCAAATTGACTAAAATTAGTGCTGTGACCTTAATATTAAAATAAGCAGTCCTAGCAAACTGTTGTTCAGAGGGAATGCCAACACACAAAAGAAAAACCAGAGATAACTAAACTTCATTTAAGAGTTATAATTCCATTATTAGGCAGTTTAAATTATCAGATTGACATTTTGATTTCAAAAATGCTCTGAAAATACATCATTCAGTAAGTCTAGTTTTGGTTGGGTTTTTTTAGCAAAACAATCCAAACCAAAATGCATTTAAATGCTGAGTTATATGGTTGACTGACTGGAATATATCCAGACCTATACTGACTAGGAAAGGCAGTTTTTCAATGCATTTGTGAGTAGTGGTCAACATGAGTGAATATGGTGACTAACTTCTTGCTTCTATTCATATGGAACAAGTAAGTGGAGTATTAAAGTATTTAATGCTTTAATAAGGAAATAGCTTAAAAAATAGTAGTGCTTTTTCCTTAAATGAAATTATAAATAAGGCAACCAAAATCTATGAACCCTGTCAGATTATATATCCTGCTTATCATCCTTATCCCTTCAAAACTGTGGGTGCTCCTGCTGCTGCATGGGTAGAATAACTGAAGTTATAGGTCTACTTTTGAAGTGTATGACATCTTATATTACAGTTCTGCTTAAAAGGAATGACAGCTTTGTTACTTCTATTGTTGCCTGTATTGTTACTTTTTCACTTACAAGAGCTATAGAGGAATATCTCCAAATTAGTTTTTTGGTGACAAGTTATTTGATTGCAGTTCTAGCAAGTTAGGATAAGACAGAGTGTTACAATAATCACTTTACTCTTAAAATATCTTTTAAATTCCACGCAGTTGTTGGAGAATTGCAAAAGCAATTATAATTGTCTTAATTAAAAATTCTAATTGTGATCATTATGCAACAGAAAATCACCAAGCTGAGGTTAAAATGGAGGCTGCATTGATGAAGGGAGTTGGGTGAGGGAGGGATCCAAGGCAGGAAAGTTTCATCCCTGATGGGTTCTTTCTGCTCACACAGAAGAACCCTTGACACCTCTGCAGTATAATCTTGGTGTGCTCCCTGCTAGAATTTGGCATTTTGGAAGGGCTGTGCAGTTGTCTTGCTGGCTGCAGCCAACTACAATCTTCCCTTTTCCACTTAGAGTGGATTTTTAACCGGTAATCTAAAATAAACATTCTTAATCCTTTCCCTAACATTTCTTGTATGCATATTTAAGATCGATCCCCCAGCCGTATAATCACTCCTCTGGTGCTCATTTTCTTCTAGGGCTGGTTCTGTAATTAGCAGAGATTGTGTGAGTTGTGTAATGGCTGTGTCTCCCCTCTAGCTGTTGTGCTCCCATGACCCACAGCACAGCCAGCCTGTGCAGACACCAGCAAGAGTCTGTGGGGTTTTGCAGCTCATGGCATGTCAGTCATCCTGGGAAAAATTACCCATCTTTTTTGGTGCAAAATGTTATACATTCTTCATTTCTGAACTGCTTAAATGAGAAAATTTTATGCCTTTTCTAGAACAGAGAAAGAGGCAAGTTTTTGCAGTACATTACTTTAAGTGAACATGAAGGATTGATGTGTTAGTTATATAATTCATGTACACAGAAATGTTGCAAGCAAGAACTGCAGTCTATTGTAAAACTCAGAGGATTGAAGATAAGAAAAAACTTATTCACAAAAAAAACCCCATGTAATACTATTTCTTTCAGAGAACAGTTTTCCCAGCTGAAAAACAACATGCCAGTGTTTTGTTTTATTTTATTTTATTTTATTTTATTTTATTTTATTTTATTTTATTTTATTTTTCTATTTTTTTTTTGTCAACAAGCTAAGTTTCCTCTGCTGAAGTCACTTCTGAATAATAGCAGAAGTCTGGTTTTGATCTGTCCCACCCTTTTTGTGATGGTGTCATCGATGCTCACCATTTAAGCAGAAGTGGGTTTTCAAATATGGTTGTATGAACAATTCACAAACACTGAATGTCTACTGCATGTGTCTTTCACACAATAGACCAGTTCTTCTTAACAGAGCTGAAGAACAGATCCCTAAATTATAAAAAGAATGGAAGGCTGGCTTTTGTGCTGCAAACGGGAAAGCATACATTTTTCCTGACCACCTAGCCAACATCCAATTAATTCTCTAAATGCAGAGGATCATATATCTTCTCACCATCACCAATATCAGCTCTTTAGTCTCCAGAATGCTGAAATGCCAAGTACACCAGGCAAGAGAAAGATATTTTAACCCTTACATTGTGGTTTAACCCCAGCTGGCAGCTCAGGCCCACGGAGCCACTCACTGACTCCCTGCATTGGCATGGAGGAGAGAACTGGAAGGGTAAAAGAGAAAAAAGGGAAAACTCATCAGGTGAGATAAAGACCATTTAGTAGATAAAACAAAAGCCACACATGCAAGCAAAGCAAAATACAGAATTCATTCTCACCTTCTCATGGCCAGGCAGTTGTTCAGGCATCCTCAGGGAAGTAGGGCTCCACCACATCTAAAATCACCTGGGACAAAAAAATGCCAGCATTCCTAACATCCCCCTTTTTCTTCTCCTCCCACTTTACATGCTGATCATGATGCCATATAATCTGGGATTTTCCTTGGATCAGCTGGGTTCAGCCGTCCTGACTGCGTCCCCTCCCAGCTCCCTGTGCCCTCCTAGCCCACCCAAGGTGGCGTGAGATGAAAAGAAGCAAAGGCCTTGACTTTTGGAGGCCCTGCTGAGCCATAGCTAAAGCTTCCCTGCATTATCAACACTCTATCTATCCAGCACACACCCACAGCAGAGCCCCAGACCAGCTACTGTGAAGAAAACTAACTCTACCCTACACAAAACCAACACATCTTAACTGGAATGACATGCATGGATTGGATGCTGTGGATGCATTGATGAACACACAGAGCTATCTTATTTCACAGAGCTCCTAAATTAGGCACCACAAAGCAAACATTTGCACTCCACAAGAGCCAGTGAGTTGCAGATCTACCTTAAAGGACCTGATTTTCAAGACTTGGTCGATGATGCTGAAATCACATGAAAGATGCAAACTCCCTCGGGCTGTAAAGTATTAGGGTACCAGATATACCAGCTCCTTGCACACCTCTGGCATGAAAAAACATCTCTCAAATGCCTGAAAACTCCATCATGCTGCCCAGTGAAGACAAAATGGTACACCTGGGCAAAGGGAATGACTCCTGTGAAGGAGTGGCACAGCCAAAGCCCTCGGTCCAGCATGTTGCTGCATTCAGGTCTCCATTCCAAGACAGAGCAAGAGAGATGTGGCTTGTGCCTGATGACCTGGCAGGGTGTCCTGCACCTCTGCTGTTGCTGGGGCTGGAGCTGATGCTTCCTTCACCCTTGGAACCACTGGAAACCTTTTGAGACATTCCAGGCTGTAAAGAGATTGGGGTGCTGTGCTTCTGTCAGAGGTTCTGCTACCAAGGACCACTACCCCAGCTTCTGACTTCTAACATTTGTCCACAGCAGAGGCCTCACAAGAAAAAAGGAAGAGTAGAAAATCAACTGCATGATGCATCAGTTAATGCCATATATAGACACAGTTCCCCCAGAGCTCTCAAACCAGCCCAGGGATGAATAAGCCTCAGCTTTCAAGCTCCCTACACCAGCTGCCCCATTCTATCTCTAGCACCTGCAAGCCAGGTTTTTAGAGGCTGTCAGGTGACATAAAATGGCACTGACACTGTGGAGGTCTGTGAGGGAGGGATGGAGGAACAACCCCTGAATCAACAGCAGTACACAAGCAGCTAAAGCTGCTCTTCTCTATCCCTTGGTGACTGAGGCTCTAAAAGTGTAAGTCTACCTCTAATGAGAAATTAAAATGCTATTCACCATAACAGCCTTGGTTTTTATTGGCAAATGAGAAGGGTTTTTTTCTGCTGAACAGAAAATAATCACTGTCTTTTTCTCCACAAGTGAGATCCTTTGTGTGCCACTCAGCAGCTTCCAAGCAGCCCCCTCATGACTGCAGCACCCACCCTGCCAGGCAGGAGGATGCAGCTCAGAGGTGCCTGGTCTAGTACAAGGATATTTTGAATCTTTAGGGCCTGGGTTTGGACTGCATATATATCCACACTGCCTCCAAGATTTAAATTCAGCTCTCTGTGCAACCTTATACAGAATAAAATTAACCCATTTAAAAGTAGTCTGTTAAAAATAGTGAGAAATTTCAATGTATTTTAGAAAGTATTCATTCCATCTGTTTCTCAGTTTAAAAGGAAATAAATATCCTCTCTAATGCCAAACCAGGCAGAAATATTTTCTCCTTCTGTTCAAACTTAAAGTTACAGGACTGCTTTTGACAACATAAACATTTTTTCTTTATCTTCTGTTCTTTTTTTTCTCCTTGAATTATTAGTAGTTTAAAACCTTTTTAATATTCTAAACCAGTTAAGGTTAGGGAAAATATATTTTGTAAGCTGAATATAAGAAAGTGGCAATTTTATATGAAACTTTCATGCAAAAAATGTCAGTAATGAAATCTCCATAGGGAGCAGGAGAAGCAAAGCACGAGCTTTGGTTGATGGGATGTCTCTAACATTTTGCTGCTGTCTTCAGCCCTCTCATGACAATCTCCCCACCTCAGTGCCAGCAGAAACTGCACAGATACGTTCTTTGCTTTGCTTATTTTTTTTCATGTAACATAAATTAACAATTCATAGCGCAGTCATTTACCTCAGAGATGCTGTATGGGTGTGCTGTGAATGAAGGTGGTGAGAAAAGCACTGCTGTTTTTCTCAAAGCTTTTTATCTCTGCCAAAATGAGAGAGGTGGGAATGGGATGCACTTCTACGAACAACCTCAGCCATGCTTTTCTTTTTTTTTTCTTTTTTATTCTTTTTTTTTGCTGTCCATTCAGCTCCAGGAGTGAGAAGTAAATGGACATGGAGCAAAATCCACGTAGAGAATCAAAAACTGATTTTCATACTATGACCACCTGTACATTATCTTCTAATATCAGTAATGAATATATGACCCCACTAAAATCTTATCAGCTACACAGTGTATGGTTGATTAGGTTGGGGCTCTGGACATGGTCAGGAACTGCAGGAATAAGTGCACCTGTATATGCTTTCTTGGTTTAATGGAGACATAAGCTCGAATAAAAAAGTAGAAAGAAGTATGAGAAACCTATGTAAATTTGTAGTATCTGCAAAGGTATTTTTTATTTGTTCATTTCTAACGTGAGTAAATTACTCAAACTTCTTTTCAAGACACTTATGTCTTCTAGGAGAATGAGATAAAATTAAATACCAGTCAAGCAAAGGATTCACTTAGACCAGTATAGTCACTTAAACACTGGAAAAAACTCAAAACAGTATTAATAAAATAAGGCATGTGAAGGTCTGAGAGCTGCTGTCTCTGGACAATCCCTATGGCATGATTCAATTGAAAGCCACATTCATTTGTTCTTCACATAGTTTCAGAAATAAAGAATTTCAGAGGAAATCATTGAAGGCCCTCATCCGAAAATAAATATATTCTTCATTTCAATTTTCAACACCACAGTCAACATTATCTAGCTGGGAACACACAATATATCACAGGTTAGTTTAACAACTCCACACAGTGGCAGAGAGATAAAATTGACTTAGACATTTCATCCTCAGCAAGAGTTGTAGCCTGAGCAAAAACCAGTAGCAGTTAGAATTTGGAAGATATGTGTCAAAGAGATATGAGAAATAACCCATGGGCCTTAAATTAAATAACTAACCTACATGTAGTCTGTCACATGTTTTAATAGATCCACTGTAGAATTATGTAGTCTGTAACATGTTTTAATAGATCCACTGTAGATCATCCCAAGCCCTCCTGGCTCCAGAGAGACAAAGCTGGTGTCCGCCACTGATATCTCTGTGTCTTTACAGCTGAAGATAACAATAGCCCTCTGAACTATGGGCAAAACTTCATGTATAAAAAGAAGAAATAGAACAAAAACTAGAAATAAAACTAGAACTAGAAATAGAAACAGAAAGAGAAATAGCAGAGGACCATAGCAGATGGAAGAAGAGCAATGGGAAAGATGGAAAAGACTACAGAAAATAATTTCTGCAGCAAGAACATGTACAACATGCATGGTCTCAAAATAACAAGAGGACAGGTGTGCTTTCAGCTCACTGCAAACTAGAAGAGAAGCTGAAAGGGATGTGAGGCATCACTCCACCTTTATCTTTTCTCTCTGAAGTTGACAAGACAAAACATTAGTTAAGGGAACTGCACTCTTGAATAGCAGAAAAGTGGAGCAATTGCAGGATGTAACAAAAGAATTCCAATTCCATGCAGGAATTGAAATGGAAAATGCCTTCATTTCAGTAGTTCAGATTCAGTTTCTGTCTTAAGACGAAGTGAGGTTCCCACATTCCCCCTAAACACTCTCACTGAAAAGCAAACTTGAAAAATTTTCCCAGCTTCTTTCTCTCCCCCTGCTTCTTTCTCTCCCCATGCTGTCTTCTGATCTCCCACACCTCATGCAGACCATCCCTGAGCATCCCTGCTCCCAGAGGAGATCCAGATCCACCTGGTTTGCCATTGTGGCTGACTGCTGCTAGTGAAACCACATTTAGTAGAATAGCAGACCCCTGCTGCAAGGGTGCCCAGTGCAGTTCAAGAGCAGAGGTTGTGCCCAGCTGTGCACAGCTCAAACAACATAGTACAGGCTGTGATCAACCAGCACACTTTCTACCCTTGCAAAAATTTTGATTTAGGAGTGTTTGGTCTGGCAAAGTCCTGTTTTAGAACTGTAAAGTTTTGTTTGAATTTCTGGAGCTTCTCAGCCCAAAACTTGTGGACAAACTATTGTGTATTTCTTACTGCATGGTGGGATTTGAGTTTTTTGAAAATACTCACTGCTTTGCCAAAATATAAAAAAAAAAAACCTTTTATTTCTCACTATGTTTACCCTTCATCCTCATCCAAAGTGCTGTTTCATGTTGATATTTGAATTTATGTAAAATTAAAAATTCTGCATCAGAATAAATCTATTCAAGAAAAATAATTGTCACTATTGAAGTGGTCAGCACTTGTCCAAACCAGCCTGTGTATCTCTATATAAGCATTTTGTTAAAAAGTGATTCCTTACTCTGTTTGAGGTGCAAAATATGCATCTGAGAGTCCAAGGCATTTTGCAAAGCATTATCTACAATTCAACTGGTAATCATTTAAATGAAGGTTTTATAGAAAAGATACAGCTGTAAAGCTCTTCAAAGCAGCCCTTGGGAACATAAGCTGCATTGCAGTTTTTCCCTCAATTTCACAAACTGTCATACATCTAGTTGATAATAACTGCTTTAAGTAATTTAAAATTAAAGCATTTGGCTTCCAGTGATCCTATGTAATGCTATTTTAATAAGAGTGAGTGCAGCTAGGACATGGACCAGTGTAACTACATAATCCTGAATGGCAGGCTCTCTGTGCAAGAATTTTATCTCTTATTAGTTTCACACTTTGCCATCTCATATTCCTGCCTTGGCCCTGTTTAATCTTATAGCAGTAGTGAAATGCTATCTGAACAACTCTGGTGATGATGAAATTAATTTAAAGCCATTTACAACCAAGCTATGATGTGCAGTGTCTCTTTTTTTCTACCTCCCTACCCTCTAACTCATGTGCTGTGGTAGGTTTTTTTCCTTTTTCTGGCCACTTACACCTCTTCTCATATCCTCTCCATCCATACCAACATACCAGTTCACTTATCCTGACATACAGTTCAATTTAAAGCCTTCCTGGGACAGCTGGATTCTCTGTGTCTGACACTTTTGACTGGAGAGCTACACTCTGATGAGTGAGTGACAACATATAGGACAAAATTCCTGTACCATCTCTTCAGCAAAATCGGTGGCAGTGTGGTTGTCCTCTGTAAGCAAAATGCATACCTACCTTTTATTTTCCTTCTCTACATCTCTTATATATAAATAACTTCATAGCCATAACAGATAATCTATAAAATATAGTAATACTAGGGGAGGGACAGTAAAACATTATGAAAAGACAACAAATCCATTTAATAGCACACCTGTGAAAGATGGGGAATGTCTGTGGTCTGTGATGCAGAGGAAGTGGATTAGTGTTTTTATCTTGTATCCATCAAGTCCAAATTTACAAAACATGATCAAGTTTATATATTCTGATCCCTAAACTCTTTCCTTTTCCTTCTCTTAGGGCTTACTTGTGGCTACCATATTCTGCTTCTTCAATGGTGAGGTAAGTACATGAAATACAGAAAATGAGCAGAACCTGTAAAATAGTCATCCTGCTGTTCATTAATGCAGATGTGAAGCACGTCACACTGCAAACTTTGAAGCCACACCTAGTTACTTTTACTCTCTACACACACCAGTGGTGTGCATTTCTGACAGCTCTGTGCAGAGTGTGACTGGAATATCCCTGAGCAGATCAATCAGCTCTGTTACCATTACAAAGCAGATGGCACCTAGTGAGGTACAGGCATGACACTCGCCCTACTATCTGCAAGTTTGAGATGGAGGACTATGTAAAGGAGAAAAATGCTTTACACCCCTTCCTGCCCCAGAACAGCAGGAAGAACTAAAATACTCAATAAGAAGCAGAGAAGGCATTCAGAGATCTGTCTGAAGAATGCAGTGGGGAGCTCAGGCCAGAGCCATGGCAAATCCATCCCTGGTAGCACTGTCAGAGGTGGAGGAGTGCAACTGCTTGAGGTCCTTTGAGGATTAGCACTGGCCTTTTTACAGTCAATGTTTCTTGTGTAACAATTGAGAAATAAAAACCCTTGAGGCAAAGATCTCTCCCAATCTCTTACAGCTGGATCATATATATGAGTATACACATACAGTGGGTTTTAGATCCACTTTACTGCTATTTTTTACAAAAAATAGCAGGTTAAAATATGTCAAGAACCATTTAAATTTCTGCAGTAAGAAATTCTCCAAAGATGGTTGGCATAAAAAAACTTTTTCAACACATCAAGAGCATTCAACTGTAGCAAAATAAAATACCATATATATCTTAGCAAAGCTAGGAAGTCCATTAAAAAGTTCACTTTCAATCCAGAGCAGATGAATTGGATACAGAACAAACCTTGTGATGCTAACACTCAGTAAGTAAAGGGAGACATTTGTGCTCCTGTTTATCCCTGTATATTATTAGAAACCAGCAAATTTCATGTAATGACTTGACCACACTGATGTTTTGATAGAGACTGGAAGCAGGCTATCTTATTGATAAGGTGTTACTTGCTGATTTGATAACATTCAGGGTAGCAGAGAGTATTAAATTCTGCCACCATTTGTCAACATCTCTGTACATTTGCCTCTGGTTGGCTCTCTGTGTAAATGTACAGAGAAACTGAAGAATAAAAAGGACGAGAGGCCTCAGCTGCAGTTCTGTAGCATGGCTCCTCAGGAGGCAAGACAGAGAATGGCAAAATGTGAGCAGCTAATCACAGCAGAACCTCACACAAAGTGAGAGCTGTAAAGATCACACTACAGAGGTTCACAGTTTCATGCATCCAACTAAACAAAGTTGAAGACATGCACAACTCTTTTCCTAACACATTTCTGTCCCCAGTATCTGCAGGCTACAATCACCTTTCTCCTTCTGCTTTACTGTCATCACTCTGACACAGCTGAATATCCATGCCCTGGAAACAAAGGCAAACTTCTGATACTTCCTAGTATGGAGGACCTAGAAGAAAGTAGAGACCAGTCAGGCAGTTTTTGAAGCATCCTCTGCCTATAAGAGAGACTGCATTACTGTGTACAAGAAGTACTCCAGTGTCTCCTCCAAACAATGTGTTACCCCAAAATCCTGTTCTTGAACATTGCCTTCTTCACTCCTCCCAGTATCCCCTGCATTTTTTTCAGATTAGATTTTGCAAAACAAATTCCCTTTATGTTTTATAGCTTTACTGCAAGAGGTTGATTCTCCATCTCTAATGAGAACACCCAGATTTGTCTAGATTAAAGGTTGTAGCAATGTTAAAAATGAGGAAAGGTCACAATAAAATGCACTGAAAACATAAAGTATCCTAAAGTACATTAGTTTCTTAGTTTCATCAACTAGCTCTAATTCCAAAGTACTTTTGGCAAAGCTACAAAGTCAGAAGAGCATGCCCACTTTTACAATCCCAGTAATACAATTCTCAAAGTATGCACTAAGGAGTACATCTGAAGCATCTGCTTACCAATATGCATGATTGATCCTTGGTAGAGTACTGATTAGAAACATGGATCAAAGTCAGGCAGTAAAAACAAATGACTGTGAGGACACAGGTTTCTCAGACTTGCTGAGAGTGATTTTATTGGTGCTTAGGTACTTTTCACCATTACAGCCATTTTCAAAATCATTGCATCTGCTTCAGATTTGCAGATTGTCAATGGCAGGAGTGCTGGGAAAACTTCTCATTATTTTCTTCTAGGAAATTTTATTTAGGGAAGCTTTTTTTAGAATTTCCCATTAAGGTGAGCAGTGTCAAAGATGACACCTCTCTAATACAGACTCAAGACAGTTTGGTGCTACTTGCAGCAGCACGTTACCCATGAACACCCAGCAAAGTTCATGCACTAGACTAGCTGGGCTGGGCTGGGCTGGGCTGGGCTGGGCCAGGAGAGGATGAAAGGTTTGTGATCCTTTCTTCCCATTTATTTCTGCAGTTACACAATCTATAGATATATAAGGCACAAAACCTATAGATAAACAGCAACAGACTAATGCCAAGCTGATATTAGGGCCTTCCAAAGGGAGCACTAATCTGATTTTGACCAAGAAAACTGACCTAATTTCCCTCAATCCTGGTATACAGAAGTACACAGACCAAAGACGCAGTCTGGTCTTCAGTCATGATATAAGATTCTTTCCAAGCTGCTGCATACATCTGCTGCCATAGAGGCTAAAATTATTTCTCATGAGAAAATTTAGTGTGGGGCAGGGAGATTAATTTTAGTACTGCAGAAGCTTGGCTAATCTGGGATTTACTTTTTTCCTACTGGAACATTTAACTTCAAGACTGAAATACATGAAGCTTAGCCAGGACAAACAATGCTAAACTCAGAACCACTTTAGTGGGTTTTATAGCGCATTCATCACTACTGCCTCCCTAACCTCACTTTAGTACCATGAGCCCATCTACAGACAGAAATCTAAAAATAATAATTAAAAAGCTGTACTAATGTCTGCATTCATCTGGAAGAACACATAAACAATGTTTGTTTTTTTACTTTCAAAATGAAAAATCTTCTTGTACATTTTGATATAAAATCTTGGTGTCCAGTAGAACTGCAGTTTCTCTGTCCAACAGCAACAGTTTTGTACAGATAATACAAGGTCTCTGCAATAGTCTGCTCACCAGACCACATTTTCAAGCTTGGGATTGCTTCTAGACTGCAAGGCTGGACAATAGAATGGAAAGTCTATTTGGGCAAAAAACAGCCATGAATCTTAAGTGCCAATGAGGTGTGAATGGCTAATAGAGAACTGAACAACCTTTAAAGTCTTGAAGACCTGAGTAAATAAACTTGGGCTCTTCACTGCTTCAGTGGTTGCTTTCTTTTACCTGCCATCACAGTGGAAAGCATGGCAGGCATCACTGTGTGCCTCGTGGTCCCCAGGTACCTCCTCAGTCATTAATACATCGTGGTTGTGCATGTGATTTTCAGTAATGCTGCTTACATATTTAAAATCCATGCCTGAATGGTTTTAGTTGGCACTGAGTTATGATCATCTGAGATTCTTGGAATCGTGGCAGAAAACTAGATTTGCAAGTTCTACTCGAATGCAGCAACTTGTACAATCCATTATCCATTTGTGGCCAGATCCTTTTGTACAAACAAGCAGTTCAGCAGAGAACAAAAAAAAAGAAATGCTTTGACCTTGTGCTCTTACTGCTCTGTGGAGCCTTTTAGACCTTTATAATTGCACTTCTGATCATGGGCTGAACTGGAAGGGATGTGGCTGTTGTCTACCCATCAGACATACAGTGTAAGCATCACTCCCTCTGAAGAAGAAAATTATAAGCTCCTCTTGACAGGCCCTGTAAGACTCAGGGACATTGTTCTTCCCTCTCCAGTCAACCACACTATCACCTCCAGACCTATGGCAGACTCCAGTTCAGCTGAGAGCATCTAGGGAGCTTCTCAGGAGCTTCTCACCTGCACAGCAGCTCCTCTCCCCATGCAAGAGCAATCAAAGTCTTGGGGTCTGTGCAGGGGGCAGGGGAAGGAGAGGGCTAGGAAAGGAACAGAAAGTCTCTAAGAGTAGGCTGTTGCTGCCTTCACTGAAGATGCTGACATTAATCTAAATGGATGAAGTGCTGTGAAACGCAGACATGGTCAGCCTGGGGCAGAGGTGAAGGCCAGAAGTGCACAGTGGCTGGTGACCATGGTGCAGTGGAGGAGAGGTGGCTGCAGGCAGGCAGAGCCACTGTGCACACACAAGGTTTCTGCATTATCCTCCTTGTGTATGCCCTAGATGCCCCAGTGAGACATGGGGAAAGTCACTGTCCTAGTACTTCTGAAGATTTCTTCTTCCAGTCCCTCCACATAGCTTTTGGGGTAACAAAGCTAAAATATTCATACTGTAACATCGAAAGGCAATTTTAAAGTGACTAAAATCTTTACAAAATTTAACTAATGTAATATTTCTGTATCAAGTGCTGCCACTGCATTACTCTTTGACCCAGTAATTCTTTCTCACTAATAAACTCAGGTGATAGTGTGATAAAACATCCCCACATGCAGCTATTTCACTTTAATTTTCAACATTGGCATAGTAAACCTTGCTCAGAGCCCAAGTAATTAAAGTTACATTGTGACCATATCCCTTTCCTGCGCTCAATATCTAATTAACCTCCACAGAGCCATTTGGTTTTTTCCTTTATGTGTTCAGAGAAGGTGAATAGCAATACACTCTCCAAATGACAAACAGTGCCCACCTCAGCAGGACCACAGAAACTTTTAGACTCCTGTTGTCACAGTGCCTTACTTGCACCTGCCTTCCTCTTGAGGAGAGGGTCATTTACATCAGATTATTTTGCCAAACTGCTGCTATTCTCACTTTGTGTTGTTCAGAATCACTGATCTAAACAAAAAGAGCCAGGATTTGCCCACTTTCTGCTCATGTCACAAAATTATCAAGAGCTGCCATGCATGGACATGCAGCTGGAGAAGACCTTCTTATTCCCTGGCAAGACTCAATAGTTTAAATCATTTCCTAATACCATGTATAACACCACTCTTAATGTTGAATAAAATATCTTATTCTTAGCAGATGACTGTTCAACGGTTGAAATCCTCCATGCTATGCAGAGGGCTAAGACCAGTCTATAATTTGTGAGCACAAAACCTGTTCTTAAATTACCAGAATAAAATCTCTGTTTAGCTGTCCTGATCCTCCAACTCTTTCTACAAAATTATTCCTGGCAAGCTCATGAAGTGTACTTACACTTTGCCATTCATGGAAATTCTCATTACTCAAGGCTGAGCTTCTTCAGGTATCAAAATGCATTAGTCTTTTCAGGAGCAATAATCCACCTGCAGCATCAACCTTTCCTTTTTCCTTTCCTTTCCTTTCCTTTCCTTTCCTTTCCTTTCCTTTCCTTTCCTTTCCTTTCCTTTCCTTCTCCTTCTCCTTTTCCTTTTCCTTTTCCTTTTCCTTTTCCTTTTCCTTTTCCTTTTCCTTTTCCTTTTCCTTTTCCTTTCCTTCCTGTCACAGGTGTTTGTATTACAACAATATTATATTATTGTACAATATTATATCTTATTGTGTAATATTGTATATAAATATATATTGTATATATTGTATATACATATTATATATGTACACATTGTATATATATATATATATAAGATATAATTATATCTTATTGTGTAATATTGTATATAAATATATATTGTATATATATTGTATATACATATTATATATGTACACATTGTATATATATATATATAATATTATTGTACAGTACAATATTACTGTATTTGTTGCCTCACTCTAACAGCGTGTTTCCCTGGCAGGTCCAAGGAGCTCTGAAGAGGCAGTGGGCACAGTACAAAACGCAGTGGGGCCAGAGGCGCCGGGAGCACTGTTCCACGCGATCTACCTCCTACACGGCCACGTCCATCACTGAGGTCCCTGTGTACCTGTACCACCACGATGCCAACAATGAACACTTAAATGGGAGATATGCAGAGGACTCTGAACTTGTTGCATTAAAATCTGGAGACACGTCTGCCTAGCTCAGCACCAGCCACTGCAAACACATTGTTTCATGTTCTGCTTGTGAGAAAACTGGGGAGAAGGGTGGGAGTGTGGAAATCCAAGATGCTGTGTCAGAGTGCAGGCCCAGGCAGAAGGACACATCCTATTCAAACTACATCAACCTCTGACAGCAATGATGTTGAGGGAGTGTGATGCACACCTGGAATAGCATTTCTCCCTGTGCATTGCAGAAGGGAGTGAACATGGACCTGCCCACCAGGCTCTGTAATCTCCACATCTCCTGATACCTGTATGAAGTGACCATCTGACATTTGTAACAGCCCCAGGTAGCCAATAGCAAATAGGAAAGAAAGAACCAGTATGTGGAAATTGGAAACTTTCAGCACTTTTTGCTTTTGGTAATTTTCATTAACACTAGATTTTAAACCATCAACTTTCACTAAGTGTAACTGAATTTGAGTCATTCATTTTTCCCTTTAAATGAGCTTGATGGCTGCTTAAAAGATTTTGCACATTGCAAGAAAAATCAACCATATGAACAACAGAAAGACATTCCAAAGTATTGAAATCTTGATGCTTTCCAAAGAATGCCACAAAATAATAACTACCCCAAAGGATACCCCAAAATATTATCCTCCCTTTAGCAGGGGCATAAAGCAAATTAAGGTGAAAGAGTCATTGCATACCAAGATCTCAAACACCCTCAGAGATACAAATCAATTCTTCAGGCTTAATGACACAAGTCCTGAAGGCATCTCAGAATAGATTTTGTTTAACATACTGGTAGCTCAAGAATATTTATTTATAGGAAAAATTGTCCCCCTATTACTCTAGCCAGAAACATATCATTAAGACACAATTCTCTCACTCTGAATAAACTGTGAAATTAGTTTGGGAACTATGTTTTATTTAACAGGCATTCTGAGTTGAGTGCTAGATGAATGCTTGTCTCTGTAATAAATTTGTGATCATGGCTGAAAATGTTCCCATGAAAGAAATCAGGAATCAATACCTTAGCACGGGAAACATCCACTTTTAGATCTGGTTGCTCTCCTGAGTTGCTAATCATGACATAGTTTTGCCAAAAAACTTTATGATCTATTTCTACTTCTATTGAAATTAGCACACAAATCCCTGTTAACTTGGATGAGCAATGAACAGCTCTCTTCAGTGTTCAGGAATGAGTTACGCAATAGAGTTCAGTGTAGGCTTCAAAAACATGAGGCCATTTCCTCCACAGTGATTTGAAACCATTTTTAAATGTTGTATCCAGCCAGGCTGATTTTCCTTCCCTGACACAACCAGACTCAAAGCTTTACCCTCAATTTGTAGATTTTAAATGGAGAAAAAATGTACATGTCTAGCTACATGAGTCACCACCTCACTGGAAAAGTCCCCTCCAGGAGTGAGTTCATGAGGCAGAGCTGTAAAGCCAGCACTGTGAAAAGGGACCAGATTCACCCTGTCCATACATGAGGCAATGCCTTGCAGGGAGGGAGGCTGCTCTGTTTTCACCACCAGCACACCCACCAGCTGTGCACCATGGCACATTGTCCCCAGAATGAGGAGGAAGCTGCCGGCTCTGCCACTGTAGAACAAAGGAGGAGCTGGGGAACAAGAAGGAGCTGTCTGCTGGCGGCGCAGATCATCACATGGTCAGTCCAGTGGAACGCTCACAAGAAAACACCATCGTGTGTGTTTGTTCAAGCCACATACCTATTTTTCAGACTTCAAGGAATACAAAGACAGTTATTTTTTCAAACAACAGTATTTCTCATATTGCTGTTTCTACTTTCACCAGTGAACAATACAAAATAGAGGAGCCAGTTGTTAAAGACAATAAAGTGGCTCTGCTATGAATCTGTATTATTTTGGATAGCTTTGGGGCGCACTGCACTTCCCAGGAGGGCTGCAAGAAGGCATTCCTGCTTTCTAAAGACACAAATAAGCTGATTGTAAAAGAAATGTGCATAATATAGAGAGTTTAATAATGAACATGTCAGTTTTAATAATGTAAAGTTTACAACATGTAAGTGCAAGTTGTTCCACAGTCAGCTATGTTCATGTAGATGTACAAAATGGAAATGCTTTACCATTATACTGATTGTTTTCTTTCTTCTATAATGATATTTTCTTGCTCTGTTTAGTAGAGTGCTCTGAAAAGTCACATTCAGAATCTGAGGTTTAGGATATTGTTTGCAGCTTCGGTGTGCTTGTGTCAGTCTTTATGGAAGTTTTGGTTTCAGTCAAGGGATGATGATTTCACAAAAAAATTGGTAAAACATACACACTGACTTTAGGGCTGTCATCACACTTGGGTTTTGTAGGAAAGGCTGAGTTTTAAAGGTACTTACTGAGTAATTTCTAATCAAAATATTTTCCAATGGGAAATGCTATTTTTCTTCATCTCAACATGGTTTGAAATGCCATAATTGCACACATAAGGTACATTTTATTCTCTGCTTTATAAATAGCACCATACACTAGTGACAGTAATATTGAGAATGCTGATACAACCTCAATAATTCCAATTATGACAATAGGCTGATTTGACTCAAATAGATTTCACAAGAACAGCAGAAACATATAATTAATGTATCAGTGTATCAAAAAGTATGGAAGGAGCTGACACTTGAATCAGTGGATTCAAGGTGTATTTTAAGAGGAAAGCAACCTTACATTTATCACCTCTGCAGTACCTGCTTCCTCTCAAACACCACACCCAACACATGAAAACCCAGTTTAGTGAGCATTTGCTCTTGCAGAAGGTTTTGTGTGGTTGCTCTGAGCAACCAAATCTATCAGGAAGATAGATTTAGATGGATGCTGGTTGTAATGCTTTATGAGATACAGAAACACAGCACAAATTAAAATATTTGTTGTGGCATGGGATGTTGAAAGTAAGACTTGATTTTTATTTTATTTACTTAATAAATATATTTTATCTGAAATAAAAGAGCAACAAAAGTACAACAGGCAATTTTCTGTGTATTAAAATTGTTAGCAATAATGCTACCTTAATTAAAACGCTACAGAGTGCTCACATAGCAAAATAACTCTGCTTTAGGATAAGAACAATCCCGCAAAAGTGGTGAATTTCTGTTCTCTTCTCCCATTCTTTGCCAGCCTCAATAAACAAGATATGAGCAGACTTACAAAGATGGATATCTGAAACACTGAAAATGTGAAGGTACCTACATTTCCACTGCTGGGAATTTTCAAAATTTGGTGTGTCTTTGTGAAGCTAAATACTGCTCAAAAATTTGAGGATTTGTAACCTAAAAGTCATTTGCGCTGAAACAGTAATTGATCCCAAGCTAATGAGAATCTGCAGTGTGAACATGCCCTCTCTGCTCTCTACACAACTTTTTATGTATTTCCAGATGGATCCCAGATCTGTATTTAGGAACCCCTTTACTGAGCATTCAGAGCATAACTGAGAAAATAAAGTAAATCTCAGCATCACAAATACAGATCAGTATGTTGCCCTCATCCTATTAAAGAACAGCTGTTTTTACCTGTGAAATCAAGTGCTGAGAAGGCTCCAATTGCTGAGCATGTCCTACTGCTGCAGGAAAAGGGAGAATTGGGGTGAAATGACGAACCAGGTTGTGGTATTGTGAGTCTCAGGAAGCACAGATCAGCACAGTCAGCACTGGGGATGATTTAGGCCCAGTCTTGGCATAAAAACCATTTTGATGACCTTATGAATTCCTGTCAAAATTTATTTTCCATTATTTCATAGCAGCAAAGATGGGCACTGTGCTCTGCTGGAGCAGGAAAGATTTAACTCTCCCTATATGCAATTTAAGATTTTCTTCATAATCCAATTTCAGGACCTCACAAGCCTATCTTTAAAAGCAACAATTATATTCAACCAATTTTTAAAGGACATCAGCACTGATTTTAAGACTCTGGTCCTTTTTCTCTCACTGCAAGCAAAAACAGCTTTGAGAAGTGACCACAAAGGTTACTTTGTGTAATGCACAACGTGTGCCCATGTGTGACTACATGCAACTCTCCCACACCCAAGTGCTGTGATGTTGGTTTGCATAATATGGTCAAAGAGATACAGCTCCTTCTCTCATGTGCTTTGCATTTCTCTCCCCCTCAGTATCACTATCATAAGATGTGTTTATTTCCCATCCTGTGCTTTCTACACATTTTCAGGAGAAAATTTTACAGTTTGCAACTTATGCTGACTTTTTCTTTTACAGTTTGCAACTTATGCTGACTTGCCAAGATGTACTCACCAAAATCAGATTGAAAAATATGTATTTTGATCCAAACCAGGTTATAGAATTCAGGTGCTTGACCCACACTGTTTCTTAAAAACTACCCACTGAAATTATGAAAATGGTAGGTGCAGATTTAAAACTAAGTTAAGGTAAAAGTCTGGGCACACAAACCAAGTATCTTCAGAAACAGAATAACATCTTTTTTACTTTTGACAGAATACAATCCTGTTATTTAAACACTTCTTTAAAAAAATAGAAAAAATCTAAATAGATCTTGTGAAGTTGAAACTTATACAAAAGGCACCAAAAAAACCACAACCATCTGGAAAGCCTAGATAGCATGCATACATATGAATATATGTACAGTCAACTGTATGTACAATATGTCAACTGACTGTACAATATATGTACAGTCAACTATTATAAGATATGTGTTCAGGTAGAAAGTGACCCATCATCCCAAAATGAACAAAATCTAAGTCATGAGTGGGAGAGGCTGCAGGTCAGAGAAGCCTTGTAGCCTCCAGTAAGTGCCATTATGCTTTCTGGGGACTCCATATGGAACACAGAGAACCAGAGTCATCCATTATCCCCCTCCCATCCCAGATGTGCTCATGATGGGAATGAGCAGGACCAGAGACACTGGCTGCACTGCATTTCTCAGCTTCATAAACCAGCGCTGAGCTGATGAAAGGAGCGGACTGGGAGATGAGCAGGAGCAATCTCTTTTCCAGCTGCATGGTAATGCTGGGTTATCTCCTTAGCATAAGATCCACTGTTGTGAAGAGGACTGATCTTTGACCAGGCAACTCCTTGGTATGGAAAACCTTTTAATTTCACTTTACCCTTGGTAACACAGCAGTAATTCTCACTGTCTTCAGCAATGTGGCTAGAGGCAAGACTTCTCCCTCTCTGATTTTAGAGGTTATCTAAATATCAAGCTAATACTGAAAATGCTTGGTGTAATACAATGTCACCTGCATATTTGACATCAAAAATTCTGGTTCATCTGTATTATGCTACATATAGGCACCTTAAGGTTACAAGATACTATTTTTTATATTTACCTTGGTTTTTCCAGTAAAATGTTTGTTCTCTATTAGCACCATGTTTATACGTTACATGTATTTGACAAACTTCACTGATTACTTGGCCACTAACATATATATTTACTTGTTAAATTTATAAGTATAGTTGCTTATATGAAAGGCTTGGCATGTAACAACTTACAGAAAATCAAAATTAAAAGAATGCAAAAGGCCCTCCCAGTCCAGGCAGACCACATAGAAAAACCTGAGAGGTGAAAACCCCTTGTATCCTACTCTCCTCTCTTATTTCCTAGTTATTTCTTTAGTTTTGAGCAAAGAGGGCCAATGTCTTAGGTCTCTTAGGTGCAGAGACAGCATTGCCAGTATAGGCTTACACATGGAAGGAATTTATATAAAATAGCTGCCTTTAATGAGTCTCACTCTACAAATGGTCAGAGCCCATATTCTGCCTGCTGCAGACTGTGTAGGCAAGCTTAACAAGTTCAGGCCCATGACACATGAAGAGGAGATAGCTTAAGAAAAGTTTCTTCATATTATATTACCCTACAGACATTTTTCTTCTATTACCTTTTGGCATATAGCAAACATTTAACTCCCAAGGGCCCAGCCACCACGCTCATGATTGACTCTCCAGCAGCAGAAGGGAGCTTCCCCCCTGGGGAGGCTGCAGCTTTGAACTGGCAGCGCTGTAGAGTCTTCATAAGAATTATGGTGAGAGCATATCCAACGCAAAGTAGCCTTCAATTTTGAAAAAAGAGACTTCAGAGATTTTTCATTTTAATCATCTGTTGTAAAATTTCTTCCCTGTGAGCCATTCCTTGGGAAGCCAGAATTAGAAAGGATGTGGAAGGACAAGAGGTTGCTCCATATGTGTCATCACCTACACAGGTACTGCCACATACATGATGTATAGTTTGTCACAACTTGTCAAGTTTTGGTAAATGCAAAAAAAAAAACCAAAAAATAGATCATGTTTCTCATTTCCAGCTATAGCCCATGTAGAAGTAACTTGGTATCAACTTTTTTTATATATCAGGATGTCATGAGCAAAGAGCCCTGTTTTTCAGACATTTGTTTTACATTACACAAGTACTAACACTCTTCAGCGCAGAATGGTGTGTTACCAACAATGCACTTTGGCAAAAGCAGTGAATGCAATCAGGACAAAGAAATAAAATAAATATATTTGATGCTCAGCATATATAGTCATCACAAATTAGCAATATTCCTTCAGTAATCAAAACACATACAGTAAAGTCTGGAGAGAATTTGAACAATTCCATGGGCACATAAGAAGTTTTCCCTTTTTATTTTTTTTAATAATCTGTGTCTTCATAGAATATTACCATATGTTCATGGTAGGAAAGTTTTATGCAGTTAATTTTTATTAGGTGATGCTTGAAATGTATGGTTCACAAAATTGAAAATGTTTGAAAATGCAGCAAGACTTCCCATGTTGACAAATCTGAGGCACATTCATAAGCCAAAAATTCATTGTTCATGATTGATATTAATGAAAAGACAATTATAATTGTATATTTTTTTAATATCCTTCTCTATATATACAAGCCAAGATATTCACTATCTGCTTTAGTATTTGCTACATAGTGTACAGCCTAGTGTGCTGTTCATAAGCTGCACTTTAGTATCTTTGTAAGAAGGTTTTCTGCATGTGGTGAATTACAGCAAAAACATGAGTAAAATCTCAACCTTACTGCAATCAAATCTGCTGTAATAAGGATTTCATCCCTCACAGATCCTGTTTTCCCAGTATTAAAGGCTACTGATGGTTCAGGGGAAGAGGTGCTTGGTAATATCTGTAACAGCCACAGGGGCTGCAAATATGTGGGGCTGCAAATATGTGGGGCTGCTCTCATCTTTTCACTCCATTCCCCCAAAGAGCTGTGGAGGTTGATCAGAGAGCAAGGCTGGAGGGAACAGTGCAGAAGTTAAGCCTTGCCCTGACATTTCCTTTCACCAGTAAGTACAGGAGGATGTAGCTCTGGAAAGGGTTTTCAGAGACTCTGGAAATCTTGGTCTGCTCCAGCCCTTGGGTAAGGCAGTGCCTGGTGGGATCCATGTCAAGGTCAATGCCAGTCAATTGCCCTTTATTTTTTACATGTTACACAGAAGTGGTTTAGATGCAATTTCTTTAGTGTAGAACTGAACCTTTGGGAAATTTTGGCTTTGTGAGAGGCTTCTTTTTGCAATTAAAGTCAGACTCATTTTAAAATCATTGGAATGTCCTATTGTTAAGATATTGTGATACAAATGAATACCAAACCACTAGTTCTTAAACAGTTTGATAACCCTCACTCCCCCCTCAAAAGCTTTCTGAAAATCTCTGACAGCTATGAGCCAGTAGAATAATAGCGTTAAAGAAATACCTACAAAATCAATCAAAAACCTGTGGTTAAGGCACTGGACTGCATGGACTCAGCAGACTTATGTTTGGGTCATGTCCCTGCCACAGACTTGCTGTGTGGCCCTAAGAAAATGATTGCAAACCAGGTGCCAGACTCACTGAATCCACTGAAACTTCCACTGACAGATTTAGGGGCCTGTACTCTAAATTGAGACTTTTTCTCCAAGCATGTTTTCATTGGTGAAAATTCCCAACCTGTCAGACCATTTTATTATAGATGCATCTAAACTGTCTCTAAGTCCTAACCAATGTTCCCATAAA